TTACTAGCCTCAGCAACAGAGGATCAGAAAACAGCTACCACGCAAAGTCACTTTCCCCTTTCACACTGAGCCCTAAAAACCAGGTGGAAAGAGCCCAAGCCCATCTAAGTGTAAAAACTGTGGATGGTGAATGAGGTAACAGGGCAAGGCATGCATGGCTGTTTTCCCAAAATGTGAATAAATGTAAGGGCTCTGTGAATCCAAACTAAAATAACCCAAGACAGCAATGGCTAAGGAAATGTAAAAAGATTTCTCAGCTAAAAACGTTATGACACCAACAAGTTTACTCTAGGTCAGAGGTCAGCAATCTAAACACCCATCCCTTACACACGGTCTTATGGTTGCTTTTACACTACAAAAGCAGGGGTGAGTAGTTGCGAGAGACTGTACAGACTGCAAAAATCTACCCTATTTACTGTCAGATCCCTTACAGAAAAAATTGGCTGCCCCTCGCCCCTCCATCACACTGGATTGTGTGGGACTTTTGACAAGAAATTTATGGTGACAAATATTAAAGATTAGTCTCTTCTGACACGTTAATGTTCTGCACGGTTACAACATCTTCCCTAGGAATGCTCAGAAATGTTCAGATATTTAAAATTATCCCTCCTTTAAACATGTACTTGAGGGCATAGATAAGAAAAAAAGGACTGATATATTTTTCAAGAGTGCCTAGTATGGGTCAGGCACTTTATGTGATGCGCCTTTTAATTCTAACAACCTCGAGAGGGGGTCACTAATATTGTTATCCCCAACTACATGTGCGGATACTGATGCTCACACAGGCTGTGTGCCTAGCTCAAAGAACACACTGATACCAAATGGCTTCACTACTCCATCTGCCTTTTCTCCGAAGCTCTTTCTACACCTATGGCGTGAAGTTGAAAACATATAGTTAATAAATGGTGTTGCTTCTAACCCCGCCGTCACAGGACTGCTTGGATTTGGATCTTCACTCCACTTCCTGCTAGCTTTGTGACCTTGGGGAAAATCACTTGACTTCTCTGTGTTAGCCTCCTTAGCTGTAAGTTGAGAGTAATACCTTAATATTATCACTGTTAGGTAGGGTGAGGATTAAATGGGTCATACAGCTGACTCGTGAAAAACGTGGGGGTTCGGAAAGCTGACCCCTCCTCACCCCTCAGGTAGCAAAAATCCATGGGTAACTTTTGACTCTCCCCCCCCCCCCCCAACTGAACTAATAGCCTACTGTTCATAGGAAGCCTTACCAACAACACATGACGTCGATCAACACATTACTGTGTGTTGTTATGTATTATATACTATATTGCAATAAAGTAAGCTACAATATAAAGTATTAAGAAAATCCTAAGGAAATATTTCTAAAACTGTATGTGTTTATTGAGAAAACAAATCTGCATGTAAGTTGACCTCCACAGTTCAAATCCATATTATTCAAGGGTCAGCCATATATATAAAGTACTTGGAGCTGACCCTGTGGCACAGTTCTGAGTTGTTTAATTATAAACTCTTACTAGGGGAGCATAAAATCAGGGGATCAAAAGATAAGTGGGGAAAAAAATCTAGAACGCAACAACTAAGTCAAGGTCAGAGCAATGCTACATTTTGTTGACTAAAAGTGCCTTGGAGAATCCAAGTACTCCTAGTATCAACTTGCTTAAACCAAAGACTGTTATGTCCCTCTATAGAGTGAGAATGGAAAAGAAGAGTGAGCCCACAAGAGGTGCTTCCAGAATCTACAAATATGGCACAATTTGAGAAGAAATGCTTACAACATCACTTCTCATCAACAATGACTCCACGATGACATGATTCAAAGAGGCCATGTGGTTTCTGTTTGACCCACACAATATATGGTACCTCTTTCAGTCCAGTTCAATGGAAAGCAAAGTTGGTTTCACGAGAGCCAATTTGATTACTCTTTAGACTGCACACAGATGTGGGAGAAGCGAATCTGCAAGAAGACTAACTTATTTTCCACTACATTAAGCAAGACACTGAAACCTGAAGACAACTCTGAATTTCCCAGAGCTAAAATCATGCTGTAGAGGAAACTCAGAATCCTGAATTTGTCATATATGGCCAATCAATGGGTAACTCAAGAAATCATTAAGAGAGCAGTGAGTTCGAGGGTTTTTTTCTTTCATGTTCAGCATTTACTCTCCCATTTCTGGTTTATATACTTGTTTTTCACACTTGGGAACCAAATCTCTCATCCCTAACCCCCATGTGGTTCACGTGGGGTGAAGGGTGAACGTCTCTATGTGCTCTGGAGGTGGCCATGCGATGGAAGGAAGGCTGGCTACAACACTGTGACTGGCTCAAAGCTGGAACACGTGACTCAATCTGGGTCAGTGGGTCAGGGGGAGCCTGCTCGGGACTACTGGTGGACGACAGAAAAAGAGGTGCACTGTGAGATGGATCAACTTGTGGCATATAGATTTGTCGTCTTTAGTTCTACTTGGAAAGAGCCTAAGAATGAAGGCAACACAGAAGACAACCAAGCCAACAGACACAAAACCAATGCTCCAATAGGCTTGTTTAAGCTTCTAGATCCAGCCATGCTTGAGGCAGCTATCCCACTGGACTTCCTAGTTCTAAGAGCCAATTATCACTCCCCAACTCCCCCCTGCCGTCTTGGGGGGGAGGGGAGAAAGGGGTTAAACCAGGTCTGTAGCTGACAAGCGAAGTCTTCTACCAAACAGAAGTCATTAAGTACTAAGAAATAAACAGGCAACCATGGCAGGTTCATAGCGGCTACCCAATCCACTGAGCAAACATGAACCAAGAACATGTCGCGTCATGTGCGAAACCACAATAATTGACAGATGGTTTCCTATAAAGATCCAGGCTCCAAATATCCTTAAAAGGGGATTTAAACAAAAAAAAAAATCATTAGTCTAGGCCCCAATTTTCATGATCATTAGATTCTTTTCTTTCGTACGAGGTTGGTTTAAAATTGTGCTATCTCATTGTGGAGACACAAGAAAAAAATTACATATATATATATATATATACACACATATATATATATATATATAATTGTCAGCTTAGTGATAAATGGACTTGTGATTTGAGGTTGAGGGTGGAAATACTCTGATTATTAACAACATTTTTTAAATGGATCATACTGAAAAACTGCCTTTTTCCCTATGTGGCTCTAAAACTGATACAACAAGAATAGTCATAGCAATTGTGTATTTTTAAAGACTTTATGAAAATACATCCTATTTACAGATGGTTATCGACCATTCTAGAGATAAGTGAAATTAGCACCAATGTATTTATCAAAACTAGCACTGGTGAAGAAGGTGAAATCAGAATTTGAAAGTGGTTTCTGCCAAAGTCTTTCTCTCATTATCTAAATACAATTAGGCAAAAACAAAACAAAGATTTATAATGAGTGATTTATAAGAGAACAAAGCCCAATAACACAACTAGCTTGAATCAGAATAATTGTAAAGGGCTTTTGCTTACTTTAAAGTATCACTGTTCTTGATTGTTCATATTTAGGAACAAATTTTAGGCATCTCTTCTGAAAAATTTTTTAAGTACTTAACTTTCTAATGACTACATAATGCTCATCAAGTAAAATATTAAAGCTGGGAAGCTCTGAAATAGATTCACAGTCTTCATTAATTAAAACACCGTATCAGTGAAACTCCTTTCAGGTAAACAACGAATGGATCTTTAATGGTACGTTTTTAAAATAGTTGCATGCAGATCCATAAGGCTAAATATAGAGACTACTTTAAGAATATACAGACCACACAAAACTAGAAACCTGTACACAAATCAGCTGTTTTCTATTTCTGGGGGCTTGAACGAGAGGGAAAAGCCAAAAGCAAAGACCTCCCAACTCCCAATCTTTTTTTTTTTTAATTTTTTTTTTCAACGTTTATTTATTTTTGGGACAGAGAGAGACAGAACATGAACGGGGGAGGGGCAGAGAGAGAGGGAGACACAGAATCGGAAACAGGCTCCAGGCTCTGAGCCATCAGCCCAGAGCCCGACGCGGGGCTCGAACTCACGGACCGCGAGATCGTGACCTGGCTGAAGTCGGACGCTTAACCGACTGCGCCACCCAGGCGCCCCCTCCCAACTCCCAATCTATAAGCCATCACGAAGTTGGACATAAAGGAGTGATACGCGTGCGTATGTTCAATTATTGTGTAATATATAAATATACTAAATACAATGTATTATTATATTCAGTCCATCTGCCAATGATTTGGTGATACTACCGATAAATTTATGGGGTATCAATAACACAGGGCAGTTTAGTCTGAATATGGTCAAAGGACAAGGTACGGTACAGAGGAGAAATACTAAGCTGCAGTGCAGAAGCATTTCATTTCAACTCTGAGATGATTAATCTATCATTTCTTTACAGAGATACTTTAACAATGTTACAGACTTAAGTGGGATAATCCAAGTTTTCGTCATACTTTAATGGTACAAATTAAAGTTACTCCATTCTCCCCATAAGGACAAGAATTGGAACTAAAGTCAACACCAGGATGGAAAGGTAAGAAGCAACTTGGCAGCATTTCCTTGGCACCCATTTCTTAAGTGTGTAAGTCATGTGTATAAAAATGAAGGGGACCAGTCACTAAGCTGCAACCGGCCGTGAAGTGACAGCAGTCTTGTAAACTTAAGAGTATGTCAGTGACTCAGTATGCAGACCAATGAATACAAGTGAAAACTAAATTCTGGCAAATTTAGTACTGGGAAAATTTTTATTTAGTCACTGTCATCCTGAGGAAATGGGTAACCGATAGACTCTCACCAAGAGCATCAAAACTACCCTTGGGTGAACCTCTTTCGCCCTTTACCATCTACCCTCCGCAGATGCTGGGACTATTCCTAGGATGACGTGCTAGCCCTTAGGATCTAGAGTCCATTCTCAAAATGGGGGTGTGAAACCCTCCATCAAAAAGGTATTTTATAAGGAAAAGCATGAGCAGTGGGAGGTGATAGCTATGTAAGAGAAGAAAGCGATATAAAATCATTCTTACTTCAGAAATGATTGGAAATCTTCGCACACTGCTTCACAGCCTGGCCACTTGCATACACCATGTCCGTAGAGAGGATGGCTATGGGGGTGCTCCTCGTGGGACAAACTGAAAAAAAGCACACACGCACACACACACACACAAGGACAAGAGAATGAATTTGTTGCCAAGAACCATCCCAACAGGCTTAAAAGGCAGGAGGAACCCACGTGTCTGAAAGTGGACATGGAGAAATCTAGGGTTTCTTTTCCCCAGGCATTTACAAATTAATTCTGCATTGTTATCTAAAAGCAAGAGTTAAATTCCAGACTGTGACTAGTCCAATGTTAGAAATGTACCACCACGTATGAAAAGTGTTTGACAGGCTTTTGTTAGAGGCAAAGCTCTCTACTCAAACTGTGAAGCATTCTTTAAAAAGCTAGAATTTATCATTTAATCTACATAATGAAAATGATCAAATCTGTACTTGATTTTGAGATTCTCTTGCTGTTTTCTACCCAGGATATTATACATTTTCCTCCTCCCTTCCACTAGAAAACTGCTTTCACATACTTGTATGATCTTTTCACAAATTAATTTTATCAAGCACCGAATAGAGCAATTAAATAATTTAGCATCAAATAACTTAGCAAGACAAATATATCCAAGTAGATGATTAGCTTAAAAACACTAGCGACAGCAAGAAGATTACATCCCTAAAATTACAGACACCACGACTGAGAAAAAACTTGGCATGAACACAAGGGGTTAATCCTTCAGTGGGGTTCCAATCAATATGTAATGATTTGACCACAAGGATCCAAGTCATGGGATACTTTGATCCACACCATGTGGTGCTTGGGGAAGTGTATCTGTTGCACTCGCTGATGATCCATATTCTCAAATATTTTCTCTATTAGATTTCTGCATCCAGACTTCTTTCAGACAAATTATTTTTACAGTCATTTCCATAACCTTAGATTCCATCAAATAGAAATGTAAAACTAACATTCAGAGTTCTGTTTCATACTCAAGCACATTCTCTTCAAGGAAAGGGCTATTTTGCAACTTATTCCACTGTCTGTCTGTGATTCTGAACTTGAATCATGACTCCATACACATACACGCAAGCGCGCACACATGTGCAGCTTGTAGATTACCACAAGGATGCGTATTCACATATTATCGATCGATTCACATTCACAGAGCAGACATACACAAACGCCACTTGTCCCTGACTTACAATGAATCCGCATTTGGCATATTACCAACAGTTAAACTAAGGAGCACTAAGAGTAAACACACATGTGCATAGAACTACACCTTATCAAAGATCAATAGGTCTATCTATGGCTTTTAAATAATTATGTTGGAAATTTAACATAATTTGAAAAGAGCGATCAGTTTTTTTTTTTTTTTTGCCTTTAAAAAAAAAATCAACTTGAGAAACAAAAAAAAAAAAAAAAAAAGTTACACAAGTCTTACTGATAAAGGTGCCCCTCATGAGAGAAAAGAGTAACACAAGTGAACGAAGGTAGCTCTATAATGAGAGGTACACAGCCCCGTGGCCAAAGGATATTCTCTAAGCAGTTAAGAGGGCAAAAGTCCACTGGACCAATGGAAAGAATTACTACCAATCCAAGATCATCTTCAGATTTTTTTTAATGTTTATTTATTTTTGAGAGAGAGAGAGAGCCAGAGTGCGAGCAAGAGAAGGCAGAGAGAGAAGGAGACACAGAATTGGAAGCAGGCTCCAGGCTCTGAGCTGTCAGCAGCGAACCGGATGCAGGGCTCAAACTCACAAACCGCGAGATCATGACCTGAGCTGAAGTCGGACGCTCAACTAACTGAAGCCATCCAGGCGCCCCACATCTTCAGAATTTTTATTTTATTTATTTATTTTTTATTTTTATTTTTTAAATTTTTTTTTCAACATTTATTTATTTTTTGGGACAGAGAGAGACAGAGCATGAACAGGTGAGGAGCAGAGAGAGAGGGAGACACAGAATCGGAAACAGGCTCCAGGCTCTGAGCCATCAGCCCAGAGCCCGACGCGGGGCTCGAACTCACGGACCGCGAGATCGTGACCTGGCTGAAGTCGGACGCTTAACCGACTGCGCCACCCAGGCGCCCCTCTTCAGAATTTTTAAACAATAAATTAGAAATGATGACCTAAGATGATGTTAGTGTAACTATTTTGGTAATCATGTCATGATACATGTAAGTCAAATCATTATGCTGTACAACTTATACAATGCTCTACATCAGTTTTATCTCACTAACACTAGAAAAATAGACATGATACAAAAACAGAATTTCAAAAAAATTACTGACAATATTTGAAACTAAAGAGTCCTTCTAAGGACTGAATTCTCAGCTATTCTGAGGGAGGGAAACCCTTGAAAATGAAAACTATTCCTATCAATAGCATGGAAAGAAAAAAAAAACCTAACCATAGTTATGTTCTTTACCAACTTCATTAAGATTCATTAAAATATTTTCATAATGTTAAAATTTTTTATATCTATAAAAATATATAATACACATTTTTCAGAAGTTAAGGCATGAAGATTTCTATCACCCATTTATAAATATTTTCAAAAATGTTTACTGAGGGAGAGAGAGCATGCACGTGTGAGGCAGGGGGAAGGGCAGAGAGGGGAGAGACAGAGGATCCAAATCCAAAGCTGACTCTGCACAGTCAGCAGAGTCAGATGTGGGGCTTGAACCCACGAACCGCGTGACCACGACCTGAGCCGAAACTAAGAGTCAGAAGCTTAACCGACTTAGCCACTCAGGTGCCCCTCGTCCTTTTATATTTAACCTAATCTTGTTATTAAAGAATTTCTGTTATCGACTAGTCTTCAAAATCCTTATTTACTAAAGCAAAGAGCCCACCATAAACCATCTTAGCTCTAGTTACATACTGAAATTGGTCAAACCGTCCCTCTATTTTGGACACTGAGACTCCCTTCATGTTTCGTACGCCTATGAACAATGTTAAAAATAAAATTTACCAGGTCAAACATCCCAGTATATAACTGATTTTTACAAGATGCATTCAGAGAAATGGAATGAGTCAATTAATGAGTGCTCAGTTTTAAAATTCACTATGAATATTCTATCAAGTTGCTCTCGAGAGATGCTGCATGCCGACTACGTTCTTAACCATTATACATACTTTGTGTAATTCCTTAAGTTGGAAACCAAACGCCTCAACTGGTTAGGGTTTAAAATTAATACCACTAGTTAAAAACTGCCAACGGTTATTCTTCTGTGCTTTTTTTGTTAAGCAGAGAGTGTCCTGAAACCGACAGTATGAAAGAAAATGGTAGGTGTTCGCTGGAGGAATTTATGATTACAAGTAAAATAGACATGATTTAACATGGGCTCTGCCACCCTTTCTCCCCCCACCCCATCCCTCTGCTTTTTGGTTAGGTGATTTGTGAAGGCCCCGCGGCCTGAATAAAAACTACTCTGCTCCAAGAATTTATTTTTAGTTCAACTTGGTATCCTTATTTTTCAGAGTGAGAACAAAGGACTGTCCACTAAGACTTTATAGAAAGACAAGGCTCCCAGAACTAAAGAAACCCAAACCCCCCCCCCACATGTACACAGTTACATACTCAGAATACCTCTTGAAAACTTGCCTCTACATTAAAACAACATTTACTATGAAAATAAGATATGCTCTTATTTTCCTAAGTTCACACAGCGATAACGCTGAGACGGCTACTGAAGAAAGTCCATCCCCCTGCCACCCTATCCCCACTCCACACGGAATTAACCCACCCTAGATAATAACACTGTTAACATCTGGTACGTTATTGTGCTTTTTCTTCTAACACATCACTGATTTATGAAAATGGAAACATACTGTATACTGCCACCTGTTTTTCATGTTTGATATATAATTCAATACTTCTATTTATTTTGTGCGTCTCACAGATACTCTTATTCATGCTGTGAAGGAAAAAAATACGGTTCTAAAAAATTTTTACTTATTTTTTGGGAGTGGTTCGGGAAGGGCAGAGAGAGAGAGGGTGAGAAAATAGAAGCAGGCTCCAGGCTCCGAGCTATCAGCACAGAGCCCGGCACGGCGCCTGAACTCACAAACCATGAGATCGTGGCCTGAGCCGAAGCAGGAAGCTTAACCAGCTGAGCCACCCAGGCGCCCCTGAAAAAAAAGCACTTCTAAAAGTGTTCAGGGATGGATGTTCCACAACGCAGCTTACTGCAATTTACAGCCAGACTGGTGTTCCCAGCTAACATGTGTTCCAAACAAAGCTGGTTAATGACGACCACGAGCAGGTGTAGGACTTGAAACTTTGAAATCTCTACTTCCTTTTTTGAAAAATTAATAAATTGATTAATTAAGAGAGAGAGAATATCTCAAGCAGGCTCCACACTCAGTGCAGAGCCTGAAGCAGGGCTTGATCTCATAACCATGAGAACACGACCTGAACTGAATTCAAGAGTCCGACACTTAACCGACTGAGCCATCCAGGCTCCCCTAAATCTTGACTTCGTTTATCAGCACTCCTGATTCCACAAAAGATGAAACCCAATCAACCCCATTCCTAACCAAATGTCCTGGTGAACTTAGGTACAGTAGGACTTCATGGGGATCCAAACATTTTTAATAAGGTTTTGAAGCATCCTGGTGCGCAGGACCACTGGCTTAGGCCACCATGACCTGCATGGCCAGTGAGTATAATTGGATACTTTTACATACATGGTTGTCTGAAACAAAATGCTAGGCTTTGAAAGGAAAAGAAACAGGCTGGTAGTAGTGCTCTGACAGAGCATCTCTGGAAAAACCCGTAAGAAAACACACTGTCAGAGGTGGTGAAGAAACAGAATTTTCACCATGTCGCGTTTGAAGTTTTTATTTTATGCACTGTAGGAAGGCTGTGCTGTTCGACTGTTAATTTTTTTCATTTACATGTATGAATATATACCTATATGTGCACACATGACAAAATCAAGTGCGACTCAGGACTCAACTTTGAGACTGCCATCTTCCTTGACAGTGGCACAGCAAAGCGCACAGCATGGGTGGCTGAGTCCAGCTCCTGGCCTTTCAAGCACGCTATGTGGTATACCAGCTGTACTTGTGAATGGGAGCT